GATGACGGGTTCTTGAACCCCGGATGTTCACTCCACTAGGAGCCAATGGGGGGCTTTTATCATTTGATTACTGCAGCAAATAAACGTTTATGATACTTACATGCGAGCAAGATAATCTTCACAAATCGGCTCGGGTCGGCTTTTAAATCTCGGCGGTCGACGGCCTGTCAACGTTTCAGTCGTTATCTCCCAGAATTAGTCAGAATTACGACCCGGCAAAGGTTGGTGAGGCGCCGAGCATACGAATGTGACTTACATTAGGCTGGTGGGAAGGTTTCAGTACGTTTCAGTTTTATTGCAGTGAAGGGCATGAAGGACGTGGCGAAGTCTCTGCCGATTCCTTTCATGTGAATTGCCGCTAATGAGCCTTTTCTTTTGGGAACAAACTTTCACCTGATTTCTCCTCGAGCAGCGAGAAGGGCGGGCGATTTGGAAAAAGCTCCCCTTCCAGCCCGGCTGGCTGATCAATGGTGCGGGAGGTCTGCACTCATTATGAAGCGATTAAGAGGTAGTTTGGAGCAACGAGCCGGGGCACTTTCGCCGTCCCCGAGCCCGCCCAACTAAGAGTTGGTCAATCGATAGCCGGTATGTACGGCCAGAGGCTGTTTACAGAGACGCTTGTTCCCTTAAGTTCAGTCGCTTCCTCTTATTAAACACAGCGGCGAAGAGAATCGAAGTGGATTTACAGGGAAGCTTCTGTACTCTCCACGGCGGTGTGTTGTGATGTCTGTATTATCTTAATCTTCCGGGGGAGTTAATATCATCCTCCCGAGCGTTGAGGTTTTGAACACAAACAGGATTCTGGGGGATCGTGGGTGACGCGGCTGAATGGAGGATCTCGGCGCTTAGTCATCAGCTAATAATCCTTTAAAACGGTGAAAATCCGTGCACATACGGAGCCGCATTAGCTACTCCTTCACATGAAATATGCATGAAAAATGACAAGGATTCCTTTTCTCTTTTTTTTTGGATGAGTCATTTGGGTTTTTTTTTGCCTTTGAAAAGAGATGCTTTCTGTTGTGCATGCCCCCTTCCAAGCTGCCCTGTGGGTAGCACGCTCATCCTGCTACACGAACCACAGAGAGAGTGATCTACTGTACAGTGAACAAGCCCTCTGCTTCATCTAGCAAAGAGCAACTGATACAGGAGTCAGGGAGACTAACAATCTACGTGTTGTGATTCTGGCTGCAGAAATCAAATGTAAAAAACAAAACAAAACACAGGAAGCATTGTGAGTTTAAATCAAACAAAAGGAGGATAAGAGTCTGAAAACAAACATTTGAGGTTTTTAAATTTAATTCTCAACAAACATTTTTTCATAAAATACAAGGCAATTTGCTGACACTGCAAGCTAAAAGGTTATATCCCCCCCCACCACCGCCACACACACACACACACACAAACACACACACACACTTTAATTGCTGGACTCGGTCCACTGCGCTCCATGAAGCGTAACCAGACGGTCCTCCAGCGTTCCTGCTGCTCTGCTTGTGGCCGCGGCGGGTTTGGCGAGCAGAGCCCCGAGTCCGTGTTCGACAAGGGGGTTAACGGTTCTGAAGGAGCAGGCTCGACGAAAACCACAGGAAGACAGCCAGTCTGGACGGACGAGCCGAGGCCCGTCCCTCGTCCAGTTTGCGGTTTTCCGTCTGCCGCCATGTTTTTTCTTCTTCTTCTTCTTCTCCTCCCCCCTCTAGCCCTTCACTGAACTCCCAGAATGTACGCACTCGTCGGCCTGGCGCTAACCACACCGGGACCGCAGGAGGTACGCCGCTGCACGCCTGCTTTTCAATCCAGAGGAGCTGCAAGCCCGCCGAGGATTCAGGTCTAATAGCTGCTGACTCTGGACCAGTAGGAGAAAAGGTGGTCAGCGGTGAAAAACATCCACTGTGTTCAGCCTCTACTTCCACAACGCTGCAGCCATACAAGGGGAAACAGATGGAACTAAATTGGCCTATACATTTAAGTTTGTGCCACGGGCAATCTGTTAATAAAGTTCATACATATATATACACATACACACACACATGTGGGAGATACTGTGCACTGATTGAATCAGCTAAAGCGTGAGGGGAAACTTTTCCTCCAAGCTCAGCAGAGAAGTAATTTCTGCTCGGTGGCTGAAAACGCTGAACAAAGAAAGAAACCACGTCCAGTCGGGACAGTGATGGAGGACCCACTTCAGCCACGCTCTGCTCAGCTCCGCCCGCGACTCTTAACCTGAGCATTTGTAACGCTCGATGCAACATGTTAATGTGATTTCTTACCAGCCGTGGACAAACGGGGGCCCCGGAACCCTGGAGTCCAAGGGCCCGGTGGTCTCGGGCAGATAACCTGGACCGGCCTGTGCTGCATCAGCCCCGGATTATGGCTGACTGGGGGAGCCTGCGCGGCTGTCAGGTAATAACTCACTCCCGGGGGTCCCGCACCCTCCACTGGACACGAGCGGCCCGAGACAAGGTTGGTGAGGGGGGGGGGGGCAGCCTTGGAGCTCCAGTCCTCATAACCCGCCTCAAGAAACAGGGCTCTCATTGGCTGCCCAGTTGTCACGGGTAACCAGCCATTATCAGAATGAAACATGAGGTGCCACGGGCCGGGGCCTCGCTCAGGTGCAGGGCCAAAAACAAATATGAGGTGCGGGGGATTAACTGTTGCCTCCCGGAGCAGCGTCCCGTCTTTGACGGATCGTTGGTTGTTGAGGTGCGACAACAGACGTTAAAGAAATATCATCCGACACGCTGAAGTTCCACTGAGCTTGAGGTGGTGGGGGGGGGCGACTTCCACTCCGAGGGTTTAATGTAACGTGTCTCTGAAACTCTGTTTGCTTTTTCTCTCTTCTGACAACCCGAGCTGCAAACTAACCGTGTATGTGTGTGTGTGTGTGTGTGTTTCACGTGGACGTGTTCAGATATTGAGCACTTTATCTCGATGATGAAAATGGAAATGGGCCCGCTGAACGTTCCCCCAGGGGCCGCGGTGCTCGGCCCCTGGTTAGGAACCTATTTCAACCATCATTACCCTGAGGGCCATTAAGGAAGATGCCATCTGCACACGCTCCCCCCCCTCTCCATCGGGGAGGCTCTTGTCGTTTCACAACTAAAGAGCGAATGGTCGAAATGGAAATAGGAAATAAAATTACACACCGGGCTAAATGCGCCATTAAGCTCGCTAACTGAGCTGACGGAACCTATCAGTGGCACCGAGAACGAGAGCTGGATGACGAGCAGAGCGACATTCAGAGGTGACGAGGAGACGGAAGCGCCGCCGGCACTCTGCCGTCTCTCACATCTGCTGCTGTAACTCACCCGTCAGCAGAATGGGATTTGTGGCGAGTTAAAAAACATAAAAAAAACAGAGGAAGTTATTGTTTGTGAGCGTGGGAGACACAAGCGACAGCGGAGTATAGATTTGTCTGCACTATATATAGAACAGGTAGGAGTGCAGACAGACATGCTGGTACGTATCAGACCTGGAGCAGCACCTCTCCTCAGCTGCAGACCGGTGACATGTCAAATAAAATAAACCCAAAACCACATTTGCAACGTCCTCTGAGCAGCACCGGCTGCTGCCAAGTCACCGTACAACCGCGGGTTTGGAAACCGCGAGCCATCGGCGGGCCTCCACATCCTGTGGCATCACTGCAGCAGCTGAGATGAGTGGGGGGGGGGCAAGACATAAGAAGATCACAAGATCCGACCACACTGTTTCCACTTAAGTCATCTGACTGGTCCCAGCAGAGAGAGCACGATGCCCCCCCCCCCCTTTGCAACAGCCAAAACTAGACACATTCGGAAATCAATCAAGTCAATGTTGCCCCTTTAAATGCCTGTTTAACTTTAGGGATGGATCAGAGCAACAGGACAGGACCGGGATGTCTTTTAGAGTCAACAGTTGCAACAGACAGATTGAAAAAAGTGGCGGTGCAGTTTTGTGCACGGGAGAGATTTATTTATTGTTGAAATGTTCTCAGCTCTCAACTGAAACCGAACACCCACTGAGGGCTACGAGAGGACTAATGCACAACAGGCTGAGACAAATCACAGTCCTGCTCGTGCAGAGAGGGGGGGAAGGGGGGGGGGGAAGAGAGAGAGACAGAGAGAGAGAGGATGGCTCTGAGCATCTCATTTCAACCCAAATAAAGCAGCAGCAGCCTCCCTGTTTCTAGTCTCTTTGTGCATAGTAGACATTACTGAAGTCCAACACTGACTGCTGCTGTAAACTCTCGCGTGCAAAAAGCAGAAACCTGTTAGAACAATGAGCTCATCGGTGGGTTTTTCTCCCCTTTTTGAGTTTGGCTTTAAGACGCAACTGCCAGTGAGAATGATTCGGCAGAGCGAGCGGCTGCAGCTTCCATGTCATCGAGCAGTGGGATTGTTTTAACGCTATCTCTCAGTACAATCCCTCCATTGCGTGTGTGCCGCTTTTCTTTGCACAAATAAAAATGTCTAGGAGGAAACAAATTGTTCATGTTTAGGAAAAAAAAGAATCAAAAATCAAAACGAGGAGTGTGCGAATGAAATCTTCTGCAAGACGCCGCTCGGAGAGACGCGTTATCAGTTGCTAATTGGTGATAAGTTGCCGAGGAGTGTTTGCAGCAACAGTCAATGGAGGGCGACAACATGATTGTTGCAGGTTTAGGAAAACCACAATGAGGCATTTACACAACGCACGTAGACAATGTGCACATTTGCATTGCGGAGATTTTTTTTTTTTTTACAAAATGTCTAATAGATTGCAAAAAATAATAATAAATCAGTGACATCAGAAACACCGCCGACGGGAAAAAAGAGACAAACAAGCAGCTTCTCCGGACCAAGAATTCAACTTAAGGGGAGTTTAAGCTCATAAAACGTGTCGGAAATGTTGCTTTTTTGCATGATTTAAACTTAATGTAGGTGGTAATAATGTCGCAATGTGGAGCATCAGACTCCCAATGAGCAAAGTCAGCGCAGCAGCAGCATCGCTGAAGTGAGTCAACCAGCGCGCGAGCCACTTCTTACCTTATTGTTTCCTTCGCAGGTCCAGAGTGGAGCAATAAAACAATACAGAAATAACCGTCCGTGTCTCTCAGGCGGACACCGAAGCGGTGAAGTGTCGGTTAAAGAAGGCAGAGTTAGTTTTGCAGCTTTCTTCGGTTAGTAATCCCAGAGCGCCACAGCAGCGGAGCGACACCCGCCTCTACACTCCTGTGACGAGACCGGAGCCAGACTGGAATCACAACACTCCGGGAGCCGCCGAGGCCACGCCCCCTTCTCTCCAGTCTGACAGGCGTTCCATCCAATCACACAGCGATGTTAGGATCATGTCGTCTCCGATTGGTTAGCCGTTCGAGCTTCTTGTGTGTGTGTGTGTGTGTGTGTGTGTGTGTGTGTGTGTGTGTGTGTGTGTGTGTGTGTGTGTGTGTGTGTGTGTGTGTGTGTGTGTGCGCGTGTGTGTGTAGCCCCGCCCCAGCTCGGGCTCACTTTTCTCCCAGATGTTTTATTGCCTGAACATTCGGGCCCCTGTAACCCCAAACCAGCCAATCAGAGCGCAGGACGGGGGTCTTAAACACACACACATAGTTTGGACTTCATGGGAGGAGCTATTTAAAATATTATTCTATTGTAACTGATATTGTATTACAGCTTGTTAGTATGTTAAGTGTATATATTTATTCTTATACTAATACATTTTTTTTACACTTCTCAGTTCAGTACATGAGCAGCATGTTCATGTACTGTACATGTAGTTTATTCAAGTACTTTTTAAATGCTATTGACGTTCTGTGTTGTAGAGTCTACACTTTGGTATGAGGTCTATTACTTTAGAACATTTATTTTCATTATTAAATATGTATTATATACTATGTATATGTATAGTATTTTAACTTGTTTATATTATATATTTTAGTCTGTCTATCCATTTATCCATCATCCATCCATCCATCAATTTATCATCCATCTATCCTCCATCCATCCATTTATCCATCATCCATCCATTTATCTATCCATCATCCATCTATCCTCCATCCATCCATTTATCCATCTATCATCCATCCATCCAACAACACATACTGTACAAATGACTATATTTAGCAAATGCACACATGAACTGTTTCTTTCATATGAATCATGTTCTTACAGGAAGTCACATTATCTAAGAGGCACTTGCAAATGCAAACTGTGTGTACTCTGAACGTTCTACAGGAAGAAATAAAAGCCGAATACAATTTTGAAAAGGAGGACGACGTGTACCGACAACACTGAATCAGCGATGTTGCTGTGTCGTTCCCAGAAACACTAATAAAACACCTGTGTGGTGATGCCAGCGCTCCGGCTTTTGGTCCGACTCTGCATGCGTTTGATGATAATCTAAAAGATGGCCATGGACTCACTGACTCATTTATCTCCTAGCTTCATCTACTGCATTTCCATTTCAGTCAGTCTTTCTTTTCAAAATGCTGCTGTGTTACAGGGAAAAAAGAAGAGTTCAAGTGGCTCCTGCAGCAATTATCTGCACTGGTTATGATACATATACTGTTAGCCACTTTGGCAGTCAGATAAATGAGATGGCCTCCCTTCAGGTCATGCTTGTTCATTGCATTCCTCTTTGGCCTCAAGTCACAGGGAAAAAAATGGCTGTGCGTTTTTTGGTCGGCTCTGACTCAACACTCGTAGACTCACTGCAGTCGTTTGTCTGTTGTGGCTCGGCTCTTTCAAGGGGAAAGGGAGGACGAGGGCTCGGAGGGCCGTGGTTTGCGTGGATTCCTTCAAATCTGTGGCTGTACCCTCAGTTCACCACAATACTCTGCCAGTAAGGCTTGTGGCAGTGAAGAGGCTTGATATATATTGACAAGCTGTGGCTGCACATACACATTGTAGACCTCTACATGTGCAGAGGATACTCACAAAGATGCTCTGATAGGGAAGGGAAGGGACCGCTGGGTTGATGTTATTAGTGCAATAAAATAATAGTTCTACATACCAGGGACATGACGAGTAAACAACACAAACTACCAGGATCTCAGTGACCCAGAGCAGCGTAGCAGTCTGTCTGAGGTAAACTGTTGTATAACCTAAACCACTGTAATATATTTAGTTTATTTTTAGATAAATGCTCCGTATAAAACAGGTACGCATGGCATGTGTCTATGGGCTTTTTATTGTGAAACGGAAGGAGGAGATCTGGTCTGCGCTGCCTTTGTCAAGGTTTAAAAAGGTTTGGGCTACGTAGCCACCGTGTTGTTGCACACTACTTTTCCCACAACGTGATTGGTTGATGCCTTTCTTCGCGGTGCGAAGGCTCAGAAAAATCAACCTTGTTCCAGAAAAACATTACAGTTTGAAAAAAAAAAATAAACTGACGTGTGGATGAATATGTCACCCTATGGTTCATTTATGGCTTTTTAATATATATTTTTACTGACAATGAACCTTTTCACAGCAGATATGTTGACTTGTCATAGTAGGAGTTCAGTGTAGGTTCTTGTGACCAGGAGAGGAGTCCTCCGAACCGATCCTGCAGCCTATAGGTTGAGAGTCAGGACAGACAATCACGCTGCAGCACATCGACCAATGCCTGCAGAGGAGCATGTGAGCACAATGGCGGAATTCAAACAGCCTGATTTGGAGTGAGCCGAAACGACTCAGAGCCGCACGTCACCTTAGAGCCAATTATGAGAAACACGCACAAGCTATATATTTTGTGTTTGGTCCCATGGGTCTCTTTGAGGAAGCAAAGGCACTGAAAGCTGAAGAGCAGAAAGGGGAGAAGTGCTGGCTATGAATCCAGCATAATGATGACGACAATCCTCAAGGCTTTAGTGTCTCATCCTCTCACAGGACTGCAAAGACAAGTCGGTATAATCTACCTGTATTTACCAGGAAGCTTGGCACATCCACGCCTGTCAATAATCATTAATATATGTAAATATATTGGTGCTGATCCATTGGGAACATACAATATGAGGTAGCTTGGATTGATGGACTGAAATAAAGTGCAATTTGTCTTTTTTCCACTCTGGATCTGTACATGTACATTAAAAGTGAAGTCAATGCTTAAAGTGCCTTAACACTTGCATTCTCTCTAGTCACCACCAGGGGGCGACTCCTCTGGTTGTATAGAAGTCTATGAGAAAATGACTCCTTCTCTCTTGATTTATTACCTCAGTAAACATTGTAAACATGAGTTTATGGTCTCAATCTCTAGTTTCAAGTCTTCTTGACTGTGGCTAAGTGGAGAGCAGGGTCGTCCTTCAATCAGAGGCTCGGTGGTAGGATCCATCGCATGTCGATGTATCCTTGAGCAAGGAAAAAATGACTTCCGTAGCTGTGCCTACGGTGTGTGAATGTGGACAGTCTGATTGGCAGGTGGCACCTAGCCCCTGCCATCAGTGTGTGAATGGGTGAATGATGACAAGTAGTGTGAAGTGGTTGGAAAGACTAGAAAAGCACTATACAAGTATATATATAATATATATATATATACACTTGTATATAATGTATGTATATATATAGTGTAAAACTGTTAACAACAGGAGAGCCATGCTGAAGCACTAACTTTGAGCTTTTACTTGAGATCATTTTTGCACCAACTGTACTGTATAGTTTCCAAAAGCCTTTCCATTCCCTACATGTTTGGGCCTAACTTCTTAAGGATCATTTAAAGTCATCATATTAAATGTTTGGCAGTAAATCCTTTGCAGTCAACGGCTTTCTGAAAACTACAACCCATAGACATCAGCAGACAGCTGCGATCTTCCCCGGTGATGCTTGCTGGTCTCTGTCCTTGTGCCAGTGAGAATTTGGATATTGATGCATTACATTCAATGACGACCGCTTTTTGGAAATTCTGTGCCAAGGTGTTTTTAAATTACGTCTACAATGGATAAAATGGATAAAAGCACGGTTGAGGTGAACAGTTGGGCCACGGTTTGAGAAAGAGTGTAAATCTTGTTCAAATCCACGCAGAACTTTATTTGAAATTCTTGTGGAGATCCAAAAGTTTCCAAAGACACCAAACATGCAGGCTGTTCTCGTCCAGCATTTGCAGCTATGCTACAAAAGTAATGCGCTGTAATTTGAACCAGGCCGCAAAATCCCACATAGGGCAGGTGAGAGGGGCGGTGGATGGATCAAACAAAAACGACCTTTCACCCAGGAGACCGCTGCTTGTTCCCCGTGTGAAACGACAAGGCAACGTGGATTTATTTATCACGTAACTTGCGTACTTCAGTAACGGCACTTCCATAGTTAATTTAACCCAAACGACAATCGTTCCCTAAACCTAACTAAGTCGTTTAGTTGCCCAAAGCTAAAGTTGTGTCTGTATAGACGGGAGTTTATTTTGAAAAGACTGAAGACGTGTAACGAGCAGAGTTCGAGATGTATCGCTGGACTTCTGTACGATGCACAAATGAGCAGTACATTTTCATAAGATATCACACAAACTCTTTGTTGTATGAGGATATCTTAAAATATGTCACGGTGAATTTATTTAAATGACACACGGAACATATAGAATATTTCCATTAGGGGGGAAAGTGCTGCGATAAAAACACACGTCTTGTGTTTTGAAGATTTAACTCGTATCATACTGTCAGACAGAGTGGAATAAATTGTCTTTTTCCAACCTTGAAGCCTAAGAGGGGGAAAAAAGGATAAGAGGTTGTTGGACTGTCATGGGATGCAAAGTGTCTCACGCATGAAAGTCAGACTGGCTTGACTTGAGCTCTGCACCCTCATCTTCCTTCTTGCTACTATAGGAACACACTGCTGCCTGCATTGGTGCTGAGCATTGCCATTGGACGCAAGTGGTGCTCTGCAGAACAATCCATTATGAACCTACTGTAAATCATTTGGGCTGCCTGTTCTTTGGCAAGTACCAAACACATAATCTTTTGGAGTCAAGCGAGTGATTGACAGTCAAATGTGTGGCCACTTAAAAAAGAAAAAAAAGTCCTATAGGTTGCCTTGTCTGCACATTTCCTTTGCTGCATTGTCCAAAAATGAGGAGAATATGTCGATAAAGACCTACGACTTCAGTTCACTAGATGTGGATGCAAACACACTAAAATTAGAGCTAAAAGTCAGCGCGTACATCTTACAGTCATTGTTTCATTTCAAATCAAATCAAATGTGCTGCAACATGGGGCCAGAGCAATAGAAACGTGCCAATCAAGCACTGCAGTGCACATAGATCACACCTTCCAGTA